ATCAAAAAGTCAGAGTAAAATTGCTCTGGCAACATAGAAGAGGATAAAGGAGGATAAAGTAGAGATTGTCTGAAATGCTGGCCAGTTGTCCTGGCCTCATATAAGCCTTTGCCCACAAGCTAAGGAAGTTGGCCTTGGTAGGGAAGCCTAAGTAGTTCCTTCAAGCAAGAAGAAAGCTCTATCTGCCTGGAGCTAACAATAAAATAACCCTGGTGTTCTCCGTGTGGCACTCACTCACAGAGTGAAAAGAACAGGGATATGTCAGCTTGTGCCTGGGGTCAGGGTAGAGGTGAAATTTCTGTATTTACTCACAAAAATGCTTTGCTCCCTAAACCTAACCAACAACATTGTGTTTCCTTTTCTTTAAAAGATGAACAAAACGACAAGTTTAGTTTGCCCTCAAAACCCTAGGGGTCCTTTCAAGGAATAGGGTCTTCTTTTCTATTCCCTGACTTTATACTTCCAAACTTTGCAGTTCCAAACCCTGCCTTTCATTGGGTTGAAACTGTCTTATTTTAATGAAGAGGAAATCAGGTCCAGAGAGGGGAAAGGACTTTTCTATACAGCAAATTAATGACAAGATAGGAACCAGACTTTACTCTGGAGGGTTATATGCCATGCTAATTCCCTGATGGACTGGGTTACTTTGTTTCTCCATCAGAGATTCTCAAACTTTCCCTTGCACCAGAATCTTCTTGGAGGCTTGTGAAACCTGGATCACCGACTCTACCCCTAGACTTTCTGGTTCAATAGGTTGGGTAAGAGCAATTTGAGTTTCTATTTCCCAGGAGATTATAATGCTGCTGGCCAGAGGACCATACTTTGAGAACTGTCGCCCCTGAATTCCGATTTCAGTTTGTGTGAAGTCCTTTCATCCTACCCTTCAGCCTCCTCAGGATACAAGGAGGCAGCGTATTGGAGACTCAGTGTTTCTCAGTGTTTTTTTTTTTTTTATTTATTTATGATAGTCACAGAGAGAGAGAGAGAGGCAGAGACACAGGCAGAGGGAGAAGCAGGCTCCATGCACCGGGAGCCCGACGTGGGATTCGATCCCGGGTCTCCAGTATCGCGCCCTGGGCCAAAGGCAGGCGCTAAACCGCTGCACCACCCAGGGATCCCGAGACTCAGTGTTTTATAGGAAGTCCAGAGTAAAGTCTGGTTCCTATCTTGTCATTAATTTGCTGTATAGAAAAGTCCTTTCCCCTCTCTGGACCTGATTTCCTCTTCATTAAAATGAGACAGTTGGATTCAATGACTCTTAAAGTTTTTATGAGAGAGGTGCTAATAGGGCTAATGGACTAGTTGTGGGATATAACCTGAAGGCAGAGTTAATATTTTGTAAAGAAGATTGCGTAGCACGCCGCAATAAATTTGTATGTGAGAAGATAGAACAGATGGGTGGGTCCAGAGTACCACTCCTAACTCTACCCTTCATACCAGAGATCAAAACATATTTTCTGTAAAGGGCCAGACAGGCTTTGCACACTGTAAGGTCTCTGTCTCATTACTGAACTCTGCCATTAGACTGTGAAAACAGCCACAGACAATGAGGGAAGCTGTGTTCTAATATAACTTTATTTACAGAAATCGCCAACTGGCTGAATTTGGCCTGTAGGCATCAGTTTGCCAAACCCCAGGTTATATTATTATGCAGTTTACAAAAATAATCTTACCTAAGTCCACCTTCTTGATTTAAAAGCTTCAAGACTAAAAAAATAAATAAAAATAAAAATAAAATAAAAGCTTCAAGACTAAAAAAATAAATAAATAAATAAAAATAAATAAATAAAAGTTTCAAGACTGGCAGAAAAATAAATGATGTTATGCAATCTGGAGTAAATAAATTAATGTGTCAACTATTCAGTAATGCACTGTATAATTTATGGTATAAAATCTGTAACTTTGCGTGGCATAATAAGAATTCATTTTCATTTGCTGGGAAGGTTTATGTCCTTCTTAAAATTCAGGGGCAATTTAAATATTATAATGGTTATTAATTGTTTATAGCTGAACTTGCACTAATAAGCTGCATAAAAGCATTTAGCTTCTATGGCAGAAGGGTGGGAAAATATATTTTGGCTTTTAAGTTGGGCTTGTTCTGGCCACCTCAGCTGGGATAGAGGTCAAGCTTTGGGAATGAGCCCAGAGATCGACCATGAGAAGGATTGCTCACCATCCTTGAGCTCCATTTTCTTGCCAAGTTTGGATTCTAGTGTGATTGTACTCTGTGAGTTGAGGTTTTGTAATGGCATTCTCACTGAATTAATGGAGCCACCTGTGACATTTTCATTATTAAAAATGATTTTCTTGACAGTTACTCTGTAATTCAAAAGACAAAATGAATATAGCCATTGTTCTAAAATATGTTAGAAACTAAGAGGCCCTATTTGGCATTTTCACATAATTGATGAGATATGAAATTGCTTTATTTTATACTAACCCTGGAGGCTATCCACTTATTCTTATTCATTCTTTTAATCCCCACTTGCAGAGAGAAACCTGACATTCTGTTTGGGCCTCATTGCCTCTTCTGAAAGAATCTGTCTCTGTTTGATATGGTTTGTGGACATAGCTGTGTGGGTTACTGAGGCCCAGTCCTTCTATACTTTGGGGGAGTGATATTGTGACCTCAGTAGTTGAGCTGACCAAATAGTTCTATGTTATAGCTACCATTACCTTTCTTGAACCTCTTGACTAAAATAAATCACTAGGGAGTCATTCTGGGCAATGATTACACAAGCAAAATATGTTAGCGAGTTAAAATAAAGGGCTATTGTTGGAAGATTCCTAGAATCTGGACAGTTCTTCATCCAGCCTAATCTCTGACTCAGTTCACTTAACTTGAGTGTGTATGTGTTTGTATAGTCTTTCCTCCCTTGATATTTGGAAAATTATGATTTATTGTCATTTCTTACAGCAATAGAGAAAAGCATTTTTCAACCTGTTATGTTATTATATATGTAGCCAGCATGTCTCCTCTCCATTCTCTATAAAAATGGAAAACATTTAAAGATTTCCGCTTTAGCTGACAGTAAACTTGTCTCAGCAAGCCCTGTCCTATTCAACATTGTAATCAATGAAGTAGATGAAGACCCTGCGGGCATGTCCATCAAGTCTGCAGATGTCGCTAAGCTGTGAAGGAGGACAAACTGTGGTGGGTGACAGAAACAACATTTAGAAAATATTGTGACAGGCAAGAGAGATGAAATGGATCTAACAAGGTGAAGTACTGTAAGGATAAACATCAGGTTTTACAGTTGCCAGCCCCAAATAACTAAGTGCAGAGGATGGGGCTAGGGCTTAATGAGGTTTTAGTCTTCATTAAGCTCAATATAAATCAACACCATGACAGAACCATAGTAAGTGGGGAAGTAAATATTGAAATCAGGCTGCATTAAAGAAAGTACAGTGCTTAAAACAAGATGATCGTGAGTCCTAATTCACTATGTTGGTCAGATTTTTACTAAAGAATTATATTTAGTTCTTTCACTCAGATCCCTCATTTGATGAACGGAGTATGAATCATACTCCATAGAATTATCAAGATTAAATGTGTTAATTCATATAAAAGGCTTAATACAAAGTATGGCCCCAAATAAGTGTTAAATGATGGTAGATTATTAGCATTATTTTTAATATTAGTACTATTGGAAATACTTAAAACTGTTGAAGATAAGGCAACAATAACAGTGAAAGGACTCAAAACTAGTGGGACTGGTTAAAAAAAAAAAAAGAACTAGAGATGTTTGATCTAGACATGAGATGATTCACTGGAGGCGTAAATCCTGTCTTCCAAGAACAAGAAGAGTTGAAAATGTGACACAGGGATTGGGAGTTGTGTGACTAGCAAGAGCGTGAACAAAGATCAATGGGTAGAGGCAACAAGAAGTCCAGTTTTTAACATTCAGACATGAACAGATGCATACTTCGAATGCCTTCCATCATGGTGGTTTCCTTGAGACTCAACAGCGTCAAGCATGGGCTTGAAGACTTGAATATGGTTGCTCTAGAGAAGGTTCAAGGGTAGGTCCAGAAGGCTTGCTCATGTGCCCTTTAGGTACCACTGGCTCCGAGAGTCTTTGGTTTTGTAAATATTCACCACGGCAGTTATTACTGTAGATGGTGGCCACAGGTCTTACCTTACATTTTCAGCATCTTTATTGTCTAAGGTGATAAATTACTGTGAGCAACAGCTGTATAATGGGGACGTGCTGCAAATGTGCAGTCTTACCGTTTGAGTGCTGTTGAAGTTCACGTCTTTATGAGTATGAGTGTTCAGGGCCATTACTCCAGAAATTGTTCGGTGCCTATTATTTGGGCAACTGCCTCAAGGTGGAAAGTGGCACGTGATCAGAGCCCCTTATAATAAGCACCTTAGAGCCTGTCTTGCAGAAAAAGAATTGTTTTGAAACCAGAAGTCCCGACGTGCTCCTCAGAGATCGTGGATTCCATGCTGGGTAAATCAGTGAGCATCTCTGGGCCTCAGTTCATTCTTCTGTAAAAAGGGTATAGTCAGACTTCCTCCCAGAGTTGAGACAGAGGTAAAATTCAATGAATGCATCCGAATGCATCTCATCATATCATTGTGAACTGGGAAAAATAAAAATACAAGTAGCATGTTTTTCCCCTCAAACAGGTTCTTGAGTGTATATGCATTTTTAACTGCTTAGTTGAATTGTCATTTTTGCTTAGAAATGTGACTTTTTGGAAACATTTAGGAAGAATTTCAAAGAATATGCTGACATTTTTAAACTTGGAGATATTTCTTTCTCCATTTCCACTTGGGCTGCTCTGCAGGCAAGGTCAGGGGAAGACAGGGTGTGTGTGTGCGTGCACGCAGGTGCATCTGTTTTGAACAAAATGAAAGGTGGCCAGGGGAGTACTTTGACCTAAGAAATCTTTCCTATGAGCTCTGTAAAGTGTTTATAAGGTTTGCTTTTCGTAGTGCCGCTGCCTCATTTCCCTAATGATGTAACCTCCTTAACCTCATTTCCAAACAGGATGGAAAGATACTCTGCCGACGGACAGCTTGTGATTGCCAGAACCCAAGCGTTGACCTTTTCTGTTGCCCAGAGTGTGACACCAGGGTCACAAGTCAATGTTTAGATCAAAATGGACACAAGCTCTATCGAAGCGGAGACAATTGGACTCATAGCTGCCAGCAGTGCCGGTGTCTGGTATGTCAGCTTCCCTGATGGGATGTTGTCCCTTTTCTCTGGAAGGGTTGCAAACTGTTGCCTATGGGGTTTAGTTTCCTGCTATTTGCAATCCTATTCGGGGAGCTTGAGTCCTGTGGCTACTAAGAGGCAAATGCTCTGCTTAAAGACCTTCAGATTCTACTATTTTAAAACAGTATACAAAGAGGGGACGGGAGGGGTGATATAGGCAGTGGGGATTCAGGAGTGCACTTGTGATGAGCTCTAGGTGATGTAGGGAATAGTTGAATATTGTACACCTGAATCTAATATAGTAGTGTATGTTAACTCTACTGGAATTAAATTTTTTTTTTAAACATGAAGCAAAAAGCAATACACAAGACAAAAAGAATGTTTATGGGTCAGATCTGGCCCAACTTAGGTTAGTTTACAACTGCTCCTTGTTGGCGAATCCAGATCAAGAAAAATCCCTGCACGATAGCCTTCAAAGCCTTGACTGAGACTTGTAGTTCTGTTAGAGCCAAATCTTTGATCTCTTGGAACCTATTGAAAGCTTCAATATGAAAAATAACAGAACATAGCAGAAATATCAGGGATTGAATGAGAGACACCAAGAACTCAGTCTTACTTCTGCGTCATTCAGTCTTAGCTCCGTGTTATTAATTTGAGCAGGTCCTCAAATTGCACCGATCATTCTTTCCTTCATTGCACACAGTGGAATACCTATTTTGTAGTTCTGCTGTGAAGATGAGAGAATATATTATATGAAGCACAAATATACTATTTGGTGCATAGGAGGTACTTAGGGCACAATAGTCACTATTGGTAACATCTCCGAGATTGAAAAATCTGTTTTGAATGCCAAACCTTCATATTGAAAAAAAGGAAGGTAACTCTGGATCTTAATATAGAAATACTAATGGCATAATCAGATTTGAGAATGTCCAGAGGAAAAAACTTAATTTCTGGACCTGGCTCTTTTTGTTTCAGATTAGACCACAAACAAAGCTTTCAAAGGATGCAAAGACTGTTGGGAAACATAATCATAGTGAATACGATGGTCCATCTGTGAGGAAGTTGTAACTATTGGAATCAAGTCACAGCCAAGTCAACTTGTAATAGAACCAGTTAGCTGCTTTTGATAGTTTAACTTTTGCTGAAATTACTAATTTAGTCTATGGATACTGTATGAAGACAAGCCTTTAGAAAAATTGAACTGTAAATTTCTATCGGATTTTCTAAAGTCTCCCGGTGAATGTGCAGATCATCTTAATAGAATACATTCTTTTGAATCATTCCTGATACTTAAGAGTATAACCCAGATATATTCAAATCAAAGCCATTTTCTTTCAGGCTCCATCCAAGGGCAAATAAAGCCAATACAACTATAAAATTTGTTTTCACATAAGTCTGGAAAATTGCATTTCTTTTTCAAGAAGCCAGTCATCAGGCACCTAGAAGAATCGGGATTAATTTCAGACATGAAATTTTCATAGAATAAGTGTTTCCACTTCCATCCCCAACCCCTAAGGTTAATATTTCCTGAGAAAACTGAAGATGGTGAACACATAGCTTAATCACTACTTGAGTATAATGTGGGTCATATTTAACGACTATTTATCAAGAGTTTGCATGTGCTAGACTCTGGATGATGAAGTGGTGAGCATGATAGACATAGTCTGTCATCAAAGGCCATTGTTTTGTGAAGCTGACCAAGTAATCAGATGTGAGTTTGCGTAAATTATAAAGAATTGTCATGATAACAAAAGAGGCTGCATAGAGAAATAGTTATAAAAAAAAAAGAAATAGTTATAGGCAGCTCAATGGTGCCACAATTGCCAGATTCTGAAACCCACAGAGGCTCCATCTGAATTGTGACACCTTGCTACATGTTAGTGATGTCACTAGCTACATGTCATACTCAAAATCATTCTAAAATAGTTCTCTTGATATCGCCCAATCTCAATTTTAAGTCTGATCCTAGGAGCTCAGTTTATGATGTGGTTGAAATATTATAGTGCCTCACGTTCCCCTTTGGTCTTAAGAGAAATTAATCCCTCTTTAAACACTAACCAGCACCTTATCACCTCTTCACTTATTTGCTCATTCGATTAGCATTTTTTGACCAAAACCCTGCTAAGCACCAGGGAGATAAAGAAACAAGCCCAAAGCCTAAAGCCTCAAAACTTAATCTGGAATGTACTGATAATGATGATAAAGATCATAAGTATGAAGATAAAAATAATTATGGACTGCCATTGGCGCGTAGAGACAAGACTTGCCCCATTTTTGGGCTGCAGTAGACAGTCAGCAAAAGCACCCTGGAGGAGGTGATAGCTGCAGTAGCTCTCCAAGGAGGAAGCATATTCTCCCCATAAAGGTGGAAGTAAAAACATTCAGTAAGGACAGTGATGAGAATTACCGTGTCCCCCTCGGGACTTTGGGAACAAAATTGTGCCTAAGAACAAGGATGAGCCATTTTTGGCTTTCTCTCTACAGGAAGGAGAGGTAGACTGCTGGCCCCTCACTTGCCCCAATTTGAGCTGTGAGTACACAGCCATCTTGGAAGGGGAGTGTTGTCCCCGCTGCGTGAGTGACCCCTGCCTAGCTGATAACATCGCCTACGACATCAGAAAAACCTGCCTGGACAGCTATGGCATTTCAAGGCTTAGCGGCTCAGTGTGGACAATGGCTGGATCTCCCTGCACAACCTGCAAATGCAAGGTAATTGGAGGTCCTGGGAACAATCAGGCCTTGAACAGTTGTCAGTACCTGCAGGTGGCCCATTCCTGATGTTTCCGCATGCACAGATTCCGAGGGGCAGGGTGAAAACACAGGCAGGCGTTTTACTTCTCGCAGGAGGTTAATATGTCTGAATGGATCATAGCTGCTCCGGGTTTAGAGGCAAACTCCAAATGAACATGGAACAAAATCGTCCCTTCTCTTGCCTTTGAACTACAGATTTTTAACAATTGACCCCAGGACCAATTATGGCCAATTTAAGCTATTTTGGCCTGCATAGTAAAAAGAAAAGAAAGAAAAGAAAGAAAGAAAGAAAGAAAGAAAGAAAGAAAGAAAGAAAGAAAGAAAGAAAGAAAGAAAGAAAGAAAAGGGATCTCTTTTCATCCTGGAAAATTTTATAAGCTCTTCCATGAAACTGTCAGTGTCAGAAAAAAAAAAAGTGTTCTATGACGTTGTTTGGTTTGTTTAATTATCACAGTGCCTAATGCGGAAACCTGAAGTTCCTGCTGCAGGATTTAATTAATTGTGATTATTTTTCTGTCTTTTTGGAGGAGTTCCCATGAGGGATCCTCACATGTCTTTGAAATTAAAAACTGACCCCTTCCTGCCTGCAACGCTTGCGAAGAGCTGTGACTACAGCCGGCTTGAAGCAGGGGGTAGGCAGTGTCCAACCTCTGCCAAAACACCTGTGCGAGATGCCCATGATTAAGCACATTTAAAATATTAGTCTATTTGGTTCTATCAAATCCTTGTTCAGTTTCAGACCTCAGGGGAAGGAATGACTGTTTTTATGGCTGTGATAAAGGTGGATTCTTTTCTGTTTTCTGGAAAGTACCATCTTAAGATTCAGCTCCAATAGAAAAAGGCTGATATCAAACTTTACACAGCAAAAGAGCCATGGTCCTGGGCATACCTTCAGCCCCAGCAAACAAAATGACCGGGGGATGTGGAGACTGTGTTATTTAGTAGTATTTCTTTGAGGTCAGGTCTGAGATTCGTTTAGGGGGATTAAAAAGGTATATTTACATTAATGCATTCCTTGATTTTTAATGAATTTCCAGCCATTTATATATCTAAATATGTACTGTTCCTTTCATAGTTCCCATGACAGACTGGATTCCTAATATGCAAACCTTTCTGAGACCCATTTCGGAATTGCCTTCAGGTCCTTGTGGCACTTCTGATTAGCTTTGTTAATGGCAAATTATCTTTGAGGGATTTACTTTTGGAAACAATTTTATTTAGAATAATCCCAGTGAATAAGTTGTATAAACAACCTGGAACTATAGAGGAGTCCCAAACCTGGCTTGAGCTCAGATATGTTAAATTGCGCTGCCAGCAGGAGCTAGCAGGAGGGACTCTAAAGGATTTCATATGTCCTTCCTTCCTTTCCACTCCTCCTCCAGCATTTTTCTTCATTTTTCAGTAGCACTCGTGGAGTTTATGTCAAAACATAGGTATGGTCATTTCGAATATGAAGATGCACACTGCTGATTGATTTATATCCTCTGTCTCATTTGGCTAACACTTCTGTCTTGATGCACAGAATGGAAGTGTCTGCTGTTCTGTGGATTTGGAGTGTCTTCATAATAACTGAAGTACTTAAAATAGACTCATCGTTGCGGGAGAAAAATGGACGAAATGACCATCCAGCATGGTGAAGAACAGGAGTTGGTGTTTCTTTTGTTTTTGTTTTTGTTTTTACCACAATTACCAAAGTCCCGTCTGAGGAAGGTGTTTGGGGGTTACCTCTTGGACCTATCACTTTGTTCATTCTTGCTAACCTAGTCTAGGTGACCTACAGTGCATTGCATTTAAGTCTATGGTTGTTAAAAGAAGTTTCCCGTGTTGTAAATCACGTTTCCCTTATCAAATCATTTGCAAATACATTTAAATGATCTCATGGTAAACGTTGATGTATTTTTTGTTTTATTTTGTGTACTAACATGATAGCGAATCCGCTCTTAATTTATTATTTTTTTTCTTGAGTTTTGGATCAAATTCTACAAATAAAGTTGCCTGTTGTGATTTTGTCCCATCCACTGTATACTTAGTATTCAGATCCCTGTGAAATGTTTTGATGAATATATGTATGTTGAGTCTCACTGCATCATACTTGCATTTCAAACTGTTGAACACACTTAGAACCTCACTCATTCAGCTTCAGGTAAAAGAAATTATGATATATTGAAGAGAGGAAAGACCACAAAGATTATTATATAATTATTTTTAGAATAGCTTTCTCCTTCCTTTTGCACACAAAAGCTTATGCTGAGTGAAGTAAGTCAATCGGAGAAGGACAAACAGTGTATGTTCTCATTCATTTGGGGAATATAAGGGAAGGGAGAAGAAATGTGTAAGTCACAATTTAGAAGCAGCAATGCTTACCACCTTTCCAGGCATTGAAAGAGAAAGAATCTTTGCATTTGTTTTATATGGTAATTGATAACTTCCAAGGGACTTGCATACCGACTAACACAAGTTAACCTCCTAGCACAGGTGAATGGTATTCTTCCTACATTACAGAAGAGTAAATTAATGTGTTCTAGGCAACCAATTTGTTCAGATCTAGTTGATTTTATGGAGTGTTGGGACTGGTAACCAGGTCTCCTGATGCCTCCCCAGTGCATTTTCCTCTAGACCACACAACTACTCAGATGGTTAGAGGATGCCCTCCTAGGAAAAGTTATTTCTATGCTCATTAATGACTTTAGAATAGTGAAAGTTTTCATTTGAGACACTACCATATTTTCAAAAGTTAGCAGTTATTGAGTGATACAAAACAAAATGTGTAAATAACATTTTATCTGAGCTGAGAATTCAAACTTAGGTTGTAGTTTCAGGTAAGTCACATCTTAGTAATTTGTAATACCTAAGGCTCTTGAATTCATTATTCTGAATCGAGTTGGTTCATGAAATTTTGTTCACTTTCTCAGCACTGAAAAAGATGTTAAGTCAGTTGTGCTAAAAATAATATTTTAAATCCCCCAAATTAATTAAAAATTATAAGCTCAGATTGCCGTTACTCATTGGTATTTGCCAGAGATTATATTTAATATTATCAGATATTGTTGTGAAGACAAACTTTACCACATGAAATTAACTTCATGTGCTGAATTATGTCAATAGTTTAAATACTAGATTTGACGGTTACTGCTAAGTGTGGTAAATTAGAATATATCTCTACTTTATTTCAACTCCTTAAATGTGATCTTGGGATGGAGAATTTGAAAACTATTCTTTTGAAAAAAATCTTTATGACCCAGCATTAAAAATATCTTTAAATTTTCATTGGAAAGAAAGAGACATTTACAAGAATCATTCGTAGCCATGTCGGTCAGCGTTGGCAAACTCTGATCCCTGGGCCAAATCTGGCCCATTGTCTATTTTACTGGAACACAGTGGTGTCCATTCATTAATATGCCCTCTAATACCAAAGAGACAAAGTGGTAGAACTGAGTAGTTCCAGCAGAAACCATGTGGCTCACAAAACCAAAAATATTACCATCTTGCCCTCTACAGAAAAAGTTCACCAATTTCTTATATAGAAGACAACTGAACACTGGTGTGTATTTTAGGATGTTTCCATTCTTTCCAACTGAATTTTCAAACTTTAATCATTTTCTTTGAATTTGTATATGTTCATTCTTTATTGCAAGGCCATTAGCAGTGATGGCTCATCCTGAAATCCTGGTTTTTTACAACTACAATCATAAAAATCAGTATCTTCTTCTTTTCATTTTAGATCTGATAGGTAAATATAATCTGTGCTAACTTGACGATAAAATGTTATTAATATTTAGCAGCACAATTTACACTACTGCCAGCTCCGATAGAAAAGACAATTTCTTCTATTTTATATGGCAATTGATAACATTTTCTTATTTAAAAATGGAGTGCTTTATACATAAGATACTCTGCTAAACTCTACTGGGGAAATAAAGATGAACAACGTTGTCTTTAAAGATCACCATTATGTGAGCCTTTAGGAGGTGTTGAGAATCTTCAAATCCATTAGGAGATTCAACTGAAATAACGGTCAGAAATAACTTCCTGATCTAGAAATTGAAAAACTTGTTATACTTTTTTTAAATGTGCTAATCTTTTGATGGAATTTACCTAAGTCTCATGCCATGATTTGCAGTGTAAAATTGGATGTCCATTGAATGAAACAAAGCAGTCCTTAAAGACCATAACCATTGCCTGTACCATCACAGGTGTAAGGATGCTAACACACAGTCTGCTAGGAAACAATGAGGAATCATAAGCGATTATGTACTTACCTTCCAACTACCTGTAGTATAAGAACATTGTGATTCAGAAAAGTGGAGTGGAGTGGAGATGAAAGTTCTATGTATGAACTAGACACATCTGTTAAACACAAACTTTACCTCATTCTTTCCTTCTAGGTTGCATATGAAATATATATGTGCATATGTATTATATGTAATGTTTTATATGTAAGTAGAAGATCAATATATAATTATCATGTGTAACCTATAATGCATATATGTTAATATATATTCATATGCTGTATGTATATATATATACTTGTATATACATACACATATATACATATACATACATACATATCCCCAGAACTTCCCCTCTTCTGAGCTTTATAGTTCTGTGCTTATGTCACTGTCGTGGACTTTTAGTAGACATTGTATGTGGTTACAATAGATTATAGATGAGGCTATGTACAATCTTCATCTTCTAGCACACAAAAGAGTGTCTTGCCTAGAGTGTGTCTTCAATTTTAAAAATTGAATTAATAATCTTTTAGCTATCAAAGAGTTATCACTGGATAGTGGAAACAGTCCACCCTAATGGCATCAAAATGTTCTTAAGCAGTATGACTTTTCGGAAAAATCAAAATATATTCAGTGCTCCAATATAACAATTTTGTAAAAGGAGTTTCTCTGATTGGAGCAGACATTGAGAACCCCTTCACATGTGCTACACCACAGCTCTCAACTTCAACAGAACACAGCTTGAAAGTCATTGACCTAACCCCTCATATTTGCTTCCACAAATGAAACCAACACTCAGAGAGGAAGCAGTGACTTGCCCAGAGTTCATAATTAGTCACAGACCTAGAACAACCACCCAGTACACACTGATTTTCCCACATTTCCCATCATCCAGCTAATGATTCCAAATGTTTTCCCATACATCAATTTCAAGTGAGCTTAAAAAAAAAATTCAAGTGAGCTTTTCTTACTCTTTCTAAATGGATGACATTGAGACACAATCCTGGATGAGCTTCAGTATCTGTCATTGTCTCTGTGTTCCATTTCCCTCCTGATTATGATAGTGCTTTATGAAATTCTGATACTAGGAACTGAGAAATACTCAGATTAAAAGCTTCAGCATATCTAAATCCACAATAGCAACAAACCATATACCCAATCACCCAATCTCATGCTGTATAGCAAAATTTAAAAATACAGTGATTCATATTCTTGAGGTTAAGAGCACATACATGCACCCCTCAGAATATAATGAAATCCGGTACTGAAAGGCAATCTTGCATGTAGTCTGGTTTCTGATATCATTATTCACGCATTTATTTTTTCATTAATTCAGTGACTGTGGCAGTCTGCAAATACAGAAGTTAATAGATAAAATTGGTCTCTATCTTCATAGCATTTATGGACTCAGGTAGAAAAGACTGACAGTAAACCAGAAAATATATAAGTGAGCAACGTGACCACAGACTGCATCAGAACCAGGAAGAAGAAAGGAGAGGAACTGCAGAAGCCCAACTTTAGTGAGGTGATCTAGGAAGAACTCTCTAAGGGAGTGATAGGCCAGCTGAGATCTGGAGAATAAGAAGGAGCCATACATGCAAAGTGTTGGGGGAATAACTCCAGAAATAAGTGCAAAGGACTGCAAGGTGGAAAGAAGCTTGGTGTGTTGAAGGTTGTGAGTAGAACCAGAGGCCAGGAAGTGAAGAAGAAAATGATACGACGTTGGGCAGGTAGGTGTAGCCGGATGTTACAGGCCACATTCACATGAAGGCTAGAGTCACATTTTCATTTTGAGATCCATGGGAAATTATCAAAGAATGATTTGTTTATTCACCTTTTTATCCACTCACATATTTATACAATAAGTTTTTTTCAGCTATCCACCTATATTTAATTACCATTCAAAAAACATGAAACTCCTGTTGTATACCTAAAGACATGACAACATTATCTTTTCCCTTAGAAGTTTACAATCTAGATTGCATTATCACAAAGCAATAAAAAGGGCATGCATGACGTGTTCAGAAATAAATTCAAGGAACACTTATAAATAAATAATTAGATCTTTAAGTCAGTTTGATGCCTCTGCTCTATTCTCTTGATTTCTTGGTTCTTGCATATTGGAATCATAATCAGTTCTGTGGTTCATAACTGTAATGTCATTGTGTTGTAGCTTCAAACAGGGGTAATGGAACACTGAGGAAGAAGAGACTGTGTTTGGTAATCTGAGAACATAACAACCAACACTACCGCTATGACCACAATGCTAGAATGTAGTAGTCAACTCTCCAAGATGGCCTCCACCATGTAATGCCAAGCTTTGGGGAAGAAATGATTTAAGTTACCAGAAAAATAATGTGTCTGTAATTTGCAGCAATTTTTCAATATTATAAGTTATTAAAATTTTTTAAAAATATTATTGAAAAGGCAAATCAATATCTTAGGAACTGAGAACCCAAATAGATATATTTAAACATATAGAAATACAAATTTATCTGGTTATTCGTGTTGCTATGCCAGTCTCATAAGATTTACACACTTCTGTAGTATTCTAGTGCTACTGTTTTAATTAATAAAGAACCAAATGAATTTAAGGGTGGGAAGTGGGAATGCGTGTTTTAAATGCAAAATAAAAATCTACTCTTTTGATCAAAAGCATCAAACACTACACAACTTGAGAAGTGACATTTTAAAGAAAATAGAACAAAAATCTGGGGTACTACATTCTGGGATGTTTACGAATGGTGAAGGATTG